TTAATCATGAAAAAGTTTACAAGAACGTTTGTTCTAACCCATTTTTTTGTTTTAAATTGATGTCGTGTTCCGTGTAATTTATTATTGAATTAGATGAGACGTCTGTAAGATTGAGTGGGGTTATAAGAGACATGATAATTTGTCAATGTGATCCTGTGCACTTTTTTCTGAAAGTACTTTTAAATATTCACGGGTTCAGACTACCAAATATTCTGGGAAGTAGCCCCAAGACAAGATATGCTTTGTTGGGTACATACTGTCGTTGGGTTACGACACGTAAAAAAAACTCACACAGCGAATCCAAGGTCCTTTTGTGTGTAGACGTAAATCCACATTAGATCTTAGGTAGTTACACTATGAAAATTTACAATTTTGGGACTAGGTTGTACTATGCCAAATAGTTAAATAGGCGTGTTTATGAACACAGAACAAGAATAAACGACTACGTATGTATCGTCAAATTAGTAATTTAAATGCAACACAAGTTACTGTCTTAATTACAAACTTCGTAATCTTAGGAATAATAAAATAGGGAGAGAAAAGAAATGAACACCCGGTGAAAAGACTCAACCATGACAATAATAATTGTATATGAATATCGACCTCTGAAAAAACCAACAATTTAGAAAAATAAAATAAATCGTTTAGTGCACTCGTATAAACACATGGAGATTTATGTAATAATATACGGAGTGAAACCGGATATTAGTATAAAAATTTGTGCAATAATAATTAAAAATGATGCTACGAAAGTCACAATTAATTCCAAAGGACAATCAGGAATTAAATATGTTTAGAAGGGTAAGAAGAGATGAAAAGGATATCTAATGTGTCGGGGGAACAATAAGGATACTAATAACAGTAATAATTATAGACATAAACATAAGCACACTACATTCCATTGGTTCGTGACATCCTACGTGACCATAAGAAGCCGTAATTTAACGGAATGTTCTGCCTTACAGACATGAGTGTATCGGCGTCATCTCTCCACCATCAGGCCTGCTGGTCAGTAACACCACTCCCCCTACTCTTGTGATGTTAGGCCCTCTTACGTTTGTGTTGTGTATGAATATTACCTTAATCTAAGCTACTTATTGGAATACATCGTCTCTAATAGTTCCATGTTACTAGCAAATCAGATCAGATGGTTGGAACTTCTGTATTATGGGTTAGATATCTATTTAGTATATCTCACTGCAATGAAGATAACTAGTGGTAAAAGTTTGAAACAACACAGGTCAGTTTATATGTGGTTTAGAGATGGTAAGAATAGATAACAAATGAAGTAATATGCAAGAGTTTAGAATTGTAAAGTTTTCGAAATAAGAAGACAAAACATTGAGCAACCCACAAGAATTTGGAACATTATGAGCCTCTTGTGGTCGGCCATAGTTGATCAGCTTCGATGAGATTAGTGAGTTATCTGTCTACGCATAATAGAAAAAAGGACATGACTCCCAAGTAGAATAATACGATTTCAAGCATCAGAAAGATTCTGAATCTGAAAGTGAGGATTAGGAGCGTGGGGGCATAATTAATAAGCAATGAATATCGGGAGAGAATAAAAAAAAGTGTTCTATCATTTGGTTATGTTCATATTAATGACAATTGAGGTCCATTATATTCATGGTCGGTCTGGATATTAAGCGGTCCATAATAAAATGCCTCATTGGTGGCAGAGGTTCATGGAATGGTTGGTGAAGCTCTTTGTTGTCAAGTTATAGTGCTATTAGTCTTTTGAACTTGGTTATAGTGTCACAGTTACGGATAGGCAATGGCAACTTATTCCACAATAAACTAAACCGTACTGTGAAAAACTTACAACGCAATGGTTTTCGGTGTTTTACAATAGGCAGTGTATATGCGTTGTTTCTGATTCTGTAGACTGCGTTGTGAATCATAGTTGGGCAGGAAGTTAGAAATGTGAGTCCATATATTGCTTTGTAGAGAAATAATAGATTGTTTCCTAGCCGACGATACCTATAGGTTCTAAGGAGAGGTGCTCACATCTATCTCTGTAGTCGAGAGTGGAGTTACATACTAGCAGTCAGCGTGTGAAGCGTGTTTGGACATCTTCTACTTTTATCTTGTCTGTGGTATTCATGTTTGAGAAGATAAAGGGGCAATATTGAAGGAAGGGTCGTATACATGTTTTGTAAAGAGTAATCATAGCCTTTGTTGTGAAGAAAACTTTCATTATTGGACCAATTAGCCGTCTAGATTTAGAAACAGGTAATGAGGCATTTGCTTCCGACTTTAGGCTTCCCGTGAAATTAGTGCTTAGATCGTGCACTGAATTGAGTATTCGAACTCTTATTTAAGTGAATTTGTAGTTCATAGGGATGTTTTCCGAAATTGTAGGTCAACATAGCAACAAGCTAGTCCGTTGTGGAGAGATTCTAGCGATTTGCTCCTTATTGGAGTGTGTGTTTATGACGATTAAATCATTCAGATCAAAGAAAAAAAGATGCTTAAAATCCACTTCATGGACTACTAATCTTCGCTGCTTCCTTGAAGATTTATACGAAACTTATAAAGAAGCAAATCTAGGATTAATCACAAAACTACAGAAAGAGTGTCTAAAAAGATTGTACTAGTAGAATTTAGTGTCAAATAGTTACTCTTATGTTGTATTCCAAAATCGGTATGCGGTTGTGTGTATATATGCTGTTTGTAAATACATATTTGTATCAATCACTACAGGAACATATTTCATTCTTTTCACTTTTAGCAATTGTCCAACAATCCGTGAGTCACCTTCCACAGTTTGAAAGATCCAAAATGCTCGCTATTAGCAAACAGTATCTAATGCACTAGAGTCGAGATTAGAAAACGGCACACACTTTCTTCATTCAACTAGATTACTTTATGAACTAATGTGACATGGCACCATGGCACACATTAACTTTCTTTCTCCAACACTACATCATATTTTCGTTTTCATAGACCTTTCACATTCAGTTTCTTCCAAAATCTTTGAGCAACGCTATTAATTCATAAATAGTTTTTTACCCAATGATTCTCGATTTGATATAAACAACCAAATGACTGTCTTGATAATACACTAAAAGCTGGTTAAATTATAGTGACATAAAATGACTTTGTTATCTGATTTGGAATAAACAGTGTATAAGACTTGCTGTGTTTTAAAACTTCTTAATTAATATTTAGGTAACACAACACGCGCCTAGAAATCACCTATGAGCTTTGATCAGCCTACCACAATTCCAATACAGAATTACCCATGTTATGACATGTCATGGAACCTGGACCAGTCTCTACGATGTAAACACAAATATAATATAATTATAGACAGAGGCCGCGAAGCATTAAAAATAGTTCTTCAAAATATAGACTTTGACCGTTAAACGAATTGAAAAATATCACGTTCAACACAATGTTGACATTGCAATAAAAAGTACTTGTGATGTATCATCAGCTTCTAGAATAATATTGTTGGTTACTATCAAATATACTGAACTGTTTTTTAACTCTGAGGCGTTGTATAGTGATGGTTTACAAATATGTTGTTGATTGAGTATGACTGCTAGGTCCTAATCGCCCGACAAATGACGACGGCGACACCGCTAACCTTTTGGCTGAACAATACTCTCGGACATTTCAATCGACCCACATCAACTATACTGATAAAAAAGCTTCATCTGCAACTGCACGAGACTTTCCGAAGTGAACCTGAGCGCTGAATTGGTGTTCTGGAAACTGCAGCACCTAAAAAGACACTTCTCCTGGCCTAGATATGGTCCATTGTGCTATACTGAGGGAAGCAGCCTCAATCCTGTCAACACTCGCTAAGCTGAGGCAAACTACTGGAAAATTGGGAGCTGGCTCACATCACACCAATTCCCAAAGGAGGTCGACGCAGCGAACCTTCAAGTTACAGACCGGTGGCTCTTCTCTCAATACCCTCAAAAATCATGGAGTCCCTGATATGTGATGGTGTAAATGACTATTTACTATCCTTAAATTTCTTCTCACCCCAACAGCATGGTTTCAGGAAGGGTTACCCTTGTATTACCAACCTGCTGACTGCGGTGGACAGATGGACAAGCATCCTTGATCACAAAAGGGAAGGTTGATATCATCTACCTAGATTTCTCAAAAGCTTTTGATAAGGTTAACCATATATGTCTTATCAATAAAATCATATGATTGGATATCAGACCACCTCTAATCGATTGGCTCACTTCATAACTGAAAAATCGACATTTTAAGGTCAGGGTTAATTTCACTTTATCTCAGGCTATGGAATGTCCTAGTGGGGTCCCCCAGGGCTCAGTACTAGGACCTCTTCTCTTCTTGATCTACATAAATGATCTTCCTCAACAGGTAACGTCAGACTTATTACTTTTTGCAGATGCCATGAAACGTTGGAGAGAAATACGCAACCAGGACGATATACAGGCACTTCAGGAGGATCTGACTCGACTTCAAAGTTGGGCAGACGATAACGGACTTACCTTTAACACTTCAAAGTGTAAAGTAGTCCATCTGCGACATGTCGTAGACTAAAGTTATAACTTAGGTAACTCCTCTCTAGTAGTATCCCAAGTCGAAAAAGATTCAGGAGTCCTGGTGCCCTTCGATTTAAAGTCTTACGCTAACTGTGACAAAAATGCCTTCCGAGCAAACCTTCCACTGGTAACATTGAAGCACATTTTTGGCCAGCCGTTGTCAAATGCTGGAATTTGCTGCCGGATGAGCTACTGCAGACGACTTCCCAGGAGTCCTTTAAGAGGAAACTTGACCTATTCTTACGGACTTAGGATGACATCTTATTATGAGCTGCCAATTTCTTCTTTTCTAATATATTATAGATAATGTACCTAGGTTCCTGCCTAGAAGTATTAGTGATTCCTTGCTACTAGACACGGAGGCTTGTTAAGCGAAAGCTTCTTCTATTCCATCCACAACCATTTGAACCATTTGACTACGCGGGTCTTTCCCTTACTGCGTTACTCCCCTCCAGCTCATCAGCAATGGAAATATTTAGAAAATATTTAGGTGGTTCGACGGAATCAGACGAGGTTGTTGGAGCTGATATTGTACGTTTTTGCAAGGTTTTTACACTGGTCAAAGGTGGATAAGCTTGTAGATCGCTACCAGTCTTCAACTAGAATTGATGACAAGAGGGATGCTTTACGGGCCCTGAAAGCGATTTCTAAGGCAAGCAAACATTTTTAATATTTATATATCTAGGTGTTTAGAAGTACCGATTGGAGGTTGGAACCCAAGCAATGATTATCTTCTCTTCAGTCCTGAAGAATGATTGGTTTGTTACGAGCATTTAATGTCTATAATTCACCCTCTTTAGGGAGGATTCGGATTGTGTATGTTACGCCTTGGAAGGCCTTTATTCTGTGATGAACGATGAAATAAGCGAACAAGGTTTGTTCTTCCCAGTTTTTAAGTTCCGTAGTTGAACCTCATGAGTTAGTCAATATACCAACTGACCTGGGTGTACAGTTCACGGAAATGTATATGAAGAACACTGAGAATTACCAAACTTTATTGTCACTTTTGGATGTAAGTTGACCTTATTATCAGTTCACTTCATTTTCCTAAGCCAGTAGTCTCATATGAACATGGTAAACGTATTGTATTGTTTCACAGTACTTATCGAAGAGTAGTTAGGGCAACAATGGGCTTATTTAATTATACAGTAATACAATAAGCTGGCAAGGCCATATTTTATGGGAGAATCAATCAGATTTAGGATCGCGCGTCCTGGATTTTGGTGAGAAATTCACTCATCCGTTTGGCTAGATAGCGTTTTGGGATTTTGACCGGTGTCAGTTCGTGATTGAAGCCGTAAATCTAGTTCTTGAATGCGGGGGTGTTGTTCACGAAAATGAGAGAACGAAAGGCGAATGTCCGGCGCTTTAACCGGGTTCCGAATCAATGGTGCACACGGGCACCAGTATCCTGCGGGAACAAATGGAGTATGAACCAATTTTCGGTCACCGGCTACCATGGGACTGCATCTCCTTACGATGTTCCACTGCCTTGTGGGTTAGACCTTTAGGTCAAGGGCTCGGGTTGTGGCCCCCTAAGATAACCACCTGCTTCGGTCTGGGCACTCGGGCAGTATCACACATATCGAATGAGATTCGTGTGGCGTATATGTATTTGGTGCCTCCTTGTACCAATATCTGTGTTAAAATAAACAAATAAATTATTATTATTGCTATTATTATTATGATTTACTATGTCATTATTCACCCTCTTTTATTCCTACTCTGTCTATACTTATTTTTTTCGACTTATACAGCAGCTCGTCTATGGTGGAAATTTGACTGTATCTAAATGTTCTCGAGTCACTGTCCGATTGAAAATTGTATGTTACCACCGAATATGAGTACTGAAGCAGTTTTTCTGAAACCACGTGCACCATTCAAACTGTCTGCCTTCAACGTTCGCACATTTATGCAGGTCGGACAACAAATAGGGCTGGCTATGTCTTTAGAAAGTCTTAATATCGACGTTTTTGTCTATCCAAGACTCGTATTCAAGACTGTGGTGAAGTACTACAAATTCGCTCTCTATCTGTCGCTTCGAAAAGCTTGTCTGACGTGCGTTTACCCGGGGACCCTGTGGCATCTTCGTCTGGTCTTGTTGGCGTTGGTGTCGCACTAAGTGTTAGAGATGAGGCAGCACTAATCGATGAGATCCCCATTAACAACCGGTTGGTTATTTGCTGTTAGATTAGAAAGTTCCATCAAAGTGAGAAGAAATCGGCGTGAGAAACGATGTCTTTTCGTTATCTCCGCCTATACCCCAACAGATTGCAGCCCGGATGCAATCAAGGTTGAGTTTTACCACCAGTTATCTGTTCTTCTCCAGAAAGTGCGTTCGACAGATATTGTAGTATTAGCCGGAGACTTGAATGCTCAGGTCGGGTGTCTAGGCACAGAAGAGAGTCGTTTAGGTGGCCGATGGGGACTTGTTAGTCGCAGGACAGATAACGGGGACCGTCTACTGCAACTGTGCACAGACCACAACCTGTTTCTGGCTAGCACTAACTTTCGGCACAGTCATCGCCGATGTGCCAGCTGGCGTCCTCCCTCTGCATCTCAAGCCTGGACTCAGATTGATCACATCGCGATCAGCTACCGCTGGCGTGGTTGTGTACAAGACTGCCGCTCCTTTTGGTGTACCTATCTCGACTCTGATCATGCCTTGGTCTGCGCCAATCTTACCTTACTTTTCAGTGGACAACGAGGTGACCGCCACCAACAAATTGATGTTAGCAAGCTGGTTGCAACTTCTGTTGCAAATAAGTATCGAACCGAGCTAGCCTCTAGGCTAGCTACCACTCCACCGAAAAGTATAGATGAGCATTGGTTGCAATTGCATGACGCCATGAAAATGGCGGGAACAGTCAGTTGTTGGTTTGCGAAACGTCCCGCTTTTAAGCACTGGGTTTCTTCTGGTTCCTCACAACTCATTGAAGCCCGTCGGTCTACTTCGGGTGACCGTTTGACTACAAACGAAGGTTGTTACGTAGTGAAATTGGGCAAAGCTTGCGTAAGGACCGAGAAGCCTGGTGGTCGGAGCGTGCTAATGCGCTGGAAGCAACAGCTGCATCTGGTAATTACCGGAAGCTCTTCCAACTCATCCGAGCCACTGGCAGCAAGGAGTCTGGTGTGGGCGAAACAATCTGTGAGGATGACGGGATGCCAATCACTAACATCCATCGACGTTTTGGACGATGGGCAGAATTTTTCGAAGGGCAGTTCAACTGGCCTGCTGCTCCGGCAGCATCGGTCAGACTGTCCTGCCCTCCATGGCCGGTGACGACTGACCCACCGAATGAGGCGGAAGTCCGCAAGGAACTCCAACTCTTGAAGCGCTACAAATCACCTGGCCCAGATGACTTACCTCCAGCTCTTTTTAAAGATGGTGGTGACTTTCTGACTAAGGGACTGATGACGTTGCTTACAAAAGTCTGGGAACTAGAGAGTGTACCAACGTCATGGAATGAGTCGATAGTTGTCCCTATCTTTAAAAAGGGTTCACGTCGTTCCTGTAACAATTATCGGGGGATAAGTCTACCTCCGATTGCGTCCAAGCTATTGGCTTCCGTCATACTTCGTAGGTTGTTCAAAACCCGAGAAAGATTGACTCGCGAGGAGCAGGCTGGTTTTCGTTCTGGTCGAGGATGTATTGATCATAACTTCACCCTCCGCCAAGTGTTAGAACACCGTCATACTTTTCAAAGGCCAACAATCTTAGTGTTTCTTGACATCAGGGCTGCCTTCGATTTGTTGGATAGGACTGTTCTCTGTGATTGCCTATTGAAGAAGGGTGTGCCTGAGAAGTTTATTAACATCCTAAAAGCCCTATATACAAACTACTCAGGTAGAGTGAGGGCATACAACCACCTTCATCCATTGTTCCATTCAAGCAGTGAGATTAGACAGGGTTCCCCAATCTCACCATTCCTCTTCAACTTTGCCATCGATGACATTCTAGAAACAGCTCTGATGAATGTAAGTAATGGTGGTGTGGATCTGTTGCCTGGAGAAAGACTTCTCGACCTTGAGTGTGCGGATGATATTGTCTTACTGTGCGATAATGCTCAAGCCATGCAATCCGCATTTAATCAGTTGGCAATCAGTGTCCGTAGGTATGGTATGTGCTTTGCACCTTCGAAATGCAAAGTACTTCTACAAGACTGGCAGGATCCTAATCGTGTACTCACCCTGGATGGTGAGCGGATAGAAGTAGTCGAGAAGTTCGTGTATCTGGGTAGCTGCATAAGTGCTGGTGGGGGTGTGAGTGATGAGATCAATGCACGAATAGTGAAAGCCAGAGTGGCTTATGCCAATCTGGGCCATCTTTGGCGCCTTCGTGATGTTAGTCTGGCTGTAAAAGGTCGGATTTACAACGCGTCGGTGAGAGCAGTTTTGCTCTATGCTTGTGAAACCTGGTCTCTCCGAGTTGAGGACGTTAGACGACTCTCTGTGTTCGATCATCGCTGTCTCCGAAGGATTGCTGACATTCAGTGGCAACACCATGTCAGTAATGCAGAGGTTCGGCATCGTGTGTTCGGGCACAGAGATGATAATTCAATTGGTGTCACCATCTTGAAACACCGACTTCGGTGGCTTGGACATGTTCTACGAATGTCGTCCCAGAGAATTCCACGTCGTGCATTATTTGCCGACTCTGGGACTGGTTGGAAGAAGCGGAGAGGTGGTCAGTGCATGACATGGTGTCGTGGCATGAAAGGAAGCTGCAAAGGACTGGCTTCTGTCGGTCCTTCATGACTCCCTGGTTGGGGTCCGAGAGATGGTACAACACAGTGGCTAGAGACGTTATCAGATATGGCTCAGAATAGAAGCCAATGGCGATCATGCTGTAACCTTCTTTTACTTTCTTCATAAAACGTGGTTGTATCTTCCTTAACTGAAAGATTTCTTCTGATTGTACCCTTCTGTTCCCCTACTATTACTATTATTATTACACTACCTTACACCAATCTCTTCGTTATGGTTTTTTTATATCTTTTTTTACGTTCCTCACTTTTTTCTTTTTCTTCTTAAATTCTCATTGTTTTGTGTGGCGCATATATATTTAGCGCACTCCTGTACCAATATATATGTCTTCAAATAAATAATAAAATCATGTCCAACTATCTTACTTTATTCCATTATAACAAGCTATGTTCCAGTTAACAATGAAAGTACGAATGAAGCTGTCTTCTGAGAGTAATCTCCATCTAGCGAAATCGTTTTATACAGTAAAACCAAATATCGCTTTGATCAATTCCAACGATTGGGCTAGTGCTCAGGTCAAGAAGCTGAGTGAAATATGGCAAGCTGACAATTTTCACTACATTTAAAAAGCTAAACATCCTATGACTTTCAGTTTGGTGACGGGTACATATTAATTGTTTACTAATTATACACTATACAGACTACCCAAAACATTAAACCAAACCACTGATATGGAGTAAATCACGCTTCATTTTGGGGATATGATTATCCCATTATCATTCTTTATCAAATTCCTGAACATTATCGTATGTTGCAAGGTTACAATTTCCATATTTTACTGTACAAAATGACCGCCTCAGATTCTTATCACACTTAGATTGTAGCTAGCAGTGGAATTCAGGACTCCCATGCCGTTCTATTTATTGGATATATTAGCACCCGTGTTGTCTTTTCGGTGGGAATAAATTCTTTATAAAGACTTTTCCGTATACCGGAAACGCTACCCAATATACTTATGGTAGACTTAAGGCACCAGTCAGTCAAGCGTATCGTAAAACCTGGCATATGTGTATATCGGTTCAACACAGGTAGACAAAATTTCCAGTAATCGAAAAAATTGAGCATACAGCTACATTTCTATTTCTGCAAACTCCTTGTGGACTTATGTTCCCTTTTACCAGTAATAAACGTCATTTAAAAAAGGGTCTTAGTTCTGCTGGGGTCGTGAAACATTACTCAAAATAGTGTTACTGATTCACAGACTGGTGAAATGTTTATTTAAATAGCTGAGCACAGGTAGTGGAAATAGGCTTTTTATTAATTCATAATTTCTGATTGCGAAGCGAAAATGCAGAAAACCTGAATAATAATAGTGAGAACTCTCTCAATATAAATTTTTTGGTCGTTATGTGTTTTTTATCGGTAATAATTATCAGCAACAGTTGGTCTGTAGTCGAAATTACCGTTATTGAAGATTTTAAAATTAAGCGAAAATTCACAGATATTTTGTTTCCGGTTGTAGGAACCTTTTGTTTTAGCTACTGGATAACAATATTATGGTGAGGTCTTGTCTCATTTTAGAGAAACAGAAACTGTGTACTTCGTATCCAATTACTCGTTTTTGTGATGACTGAGAAGAAACCTGGTATCAGAATCTGTGTAGCTTGACGCAATCAAAAATATAAACATTTTGGGAGATGAAAATCTAGTTGACCTTCCACACACGAAAATATTCCTTTTTACTAACAAATACATTTATTTCTACACAAACGTACTCCCATCGACCGTTCGTTAACGAAATACCAAGAATAACTAGGTCTCGAAATTAATTAGTTTTTGATACATCATGTTTTTTTTAAAATATTTTGTCAAATAAAGTACTCTAATGTTTTATTTTGTAATCGTAAAAGTCAGTCACTTTTCCCAATACTTCTAATTAAATTGTGTTATATGGTTATTTATACTTGTTTTATTACCAGGCACCTGAGAGTTTTATTCGACGGAACGCTATGCGGTTGCTTACAGTGCTTTCTATCAATCGTCTAAAAGATACTCAAAATGCTCTCCTTCAGTGTCGTACCGGAGTTTCAAAACTTGTGGATATACTTTCAGACACTCATGAAGTTTTACGGAATGATGTGAGTTTGACAGTAAACTATGATAAAAGATAGTGCCCACCAGTTTAATCCTCTTCGTTAAATGGATTTTAGTTTTTTTTACACGTATCAGTCACTTGTTATACTTGTGATTTTTAAAACTTTGAAGGGATTCATTATTTTGGCCTCATACTCCAAGGAGGTGTAATCCTACTAGACTATATTCACTGTTTAATTCGTTAAATTTTTATCATTATTGTTATTTAAAACATGTTTATTCACATTTCGAAGTTTTGTTTTATCACAGGTCATACTTCTTCTAACGGAACTCACCAAAGCAAATGCTAACATCCAGAAAATAGTAGCCTTTGAAAATGCTTTCGATTGGTTACTGAAAATCATATATTCTGAAGGTCTGTGTGATGGTAGTGTGGTTGTAGAAGATTGTCTTCGTTTATTATTTCAATTGTTAGACGGTAATCCATCTAACCAAGTCTTGTTTGCAGAAGGGAATTTTATTCAGCGTCTTTCGCTTTTATTTGACTTGCATTCTACTGAAAGTACACAGTCACACCTTTGGTCTGCACAGAAAGTTGTCAATGCGGAGGTAGCTATGCAGGTAAGTGTTGTTTCGAATGTAATTATCAAATTCTTCCAGTTGCATTCAGGTTTTTCAATCGTTTAATTTATTGGGTTTTATACCGCTTTCGCTGCTAAAATTTCTTTGAGATTTTCGACACATTCGTACATAAGTGATTGAAATTTTTCAACACATCAATATTTATAAAACGACTTATTACTTTTATATTGGAGTACTTTTGTAAATCTAGTGTTTCTTATTTATAATATTAAGATCAACTGACTATCTCATTAGATGCACACAATTTATTTGTCCTTTTTAAGGTGTACATATGTCTAATTTTTTCCTGTGGCTTATAAACTGCTTCTGTAAAACTTTGTAAGATATTTCCCCCTTTTAAAATTATCTTAACAATTCTATTTACAGCACATTTGTTTCACTAGATTAGTGGATATTCATTAAAATATGTGGTTTAATAGTGCGGGTCCATCAGCTTCTGTTTGAGAGACCATTTTATTCTAATATGATTCATTTGCAAATTACAGGTTTATGTACTCATCTTTTAGCCATAACAGGTATAAATGAAATTTTAAATTCCTTCCTCACAGTATTCAACGACCATAGTTTGTTACCAGTCATGTGCAAAAGACTAAGGTGCCAAGATTTAGATTTTATTTCCACATCCAAGATTTGAAAAATATTTTCGAATCATTGTGTTATTCCGCAACAGGTAACGCATATTTTCAGTTATTTCGTTTCTAATATACTTTAGTAATAAAGTGTTGTTTGTTTCATTAAACATTTACTTGTTTTGTTTTCGTACGTTATACGTACCAAGTTAATGATGATAATCTATTTGTATTTGAAATTTAAAAAAATAGGTTGTTCAAACCTTGGTAGCGCCTTGTAATAAAGCTCAATTAACGCGAAACTGCCAGAATGTGATTTATGATTGTGGTCTTCTAGAAAAACTATGTAATATTGTGATGATTAGTGGTGTTCCAGCAGATGTCCTAACAAAATCAATCTATGCTTTAGCGGACTCAATACGTGGATGCCCAAGAAATCAAGAATATTTAGCAAATTTAGTTACACCTTCAGAGCCCCCTCAATCTGCTGTGAATGTGCTACTCGTATCTATGTTAAATAAGCATCAATCTGTAGTTGTGCGTGTAGCTGCGCTATACTGCTTTCAATGTTATCTTGCTTCCAATCATCAAGGACAGAATGCAATTGTGATGACATTGCTGCCTAAACCTAATGATGGTATGTTTAGTTAAATGCTAAAATGTTGAATTGTCTTAAAATGAAATCGTCAACCATACAATGAATTGTCTTCATAGGACAAAAGCTATTGACTTCAATTTAGACTGCATCACTAAATTCAAAGATTAATTCAATAAAGCCGTGGATAAAAATTGATAATATTCATTAATAACTTACTAGAAAGGTAGCCACGGTCGATAGCTAGTCAGTCACTAATATTTCTTAAGTCCTGTTAAACACGTGTGTTGTATATTCATTAGGCTAAGTGTCTCATATTACTCTTTATGTTTATTAACTCCAGTTAAGGAAAATCATCTTAAGTACAGTGTTATATCGTATCGTTTAACTTATCGGAATCATTGGATGTTTATTAAGTGGCTACTGGTTTCTAAAGCTTGGTTTTGAACCAAAGCATCTGAAAGAGTTTTTGTTTTTTTATGGGAGATTTTCATTTTGTGTAGTTTTAAGATAGGTTACAATTGTTCTGTCCTACCATATCAGTAAGGCAAAACTACGGTACCAATCCAAGATATTTCTTTCGATTTTATTATTAAAATTTTATGCAATACCCAGTTTATTTGAATTTATCAAGTCTAACTTTAGTATTGATATCTATTGACTGATGCTCATTGCCATTTAAAAGTAGTCATTTGGTTTTGATTTCAGTTCCACAGCTTGGTGTTAGCGCTGGTCAGTTGCTTTGTGGAGGATTGTTTTCCGGTGATTCATCAGCTTGGTTTTCTTCAATAGCTCTTCTTCATTGTATCCATGATAATGTACAGCTTAAAGAAGAACTTTTGCGCGTACATTTATCTCCTAATGAAGGAGCTCTACCTGTTACCCTTTTTCATCAGTGCTTTATATGGCAACAACAGGTTAGTAATTGTTAATTCAGCTTAAAATCTTATCATATAAGGAAATTCTTCAGATTTTTTTATTTGATACAGTCAGGAGTTAACAATTTCAATTGATTTTCGAGAACTATCATTCCCATCTATGAAATCATCTTTTTCATGAGATTTAAGGTGTGTTCATTAAAAAACCCTTTATAACTTTGAAGTGGAATGAGTATTATAGTGTAACGAGCTGATAGGTTAGTTCTAAAACATCAGTCTAGATTAATCCAAACAAATATGTTTTTATTAGTATGGATTAGCCAAGTTTTTAGTTTGTCAAAATCAAGGTTCAGCTAGAAAATATTCTTATTGATCAATCTTTGTTAGCATATGTGGGGAGGGCTCCCGGTTAACTCAAGGAAGTTCTGGAAGAGCCGAAGACATTCCATCCAATCATCGTTTGAAAGAACATTCCAGAATCTTGACGTGTAACTTCCCATTTGGACGAATGCTAAAACTCCCTAGTTTTCAATGGTTCTGCAGCTGAAGTGAAGTTGTATCTATTCTACACTTGTTCAATTCACTTTTAGCGTGGTATCTGAAGTTCTTTTTTGTTATTATTTCTTATTATCAAATAATATGGGAACAGACAAGGGAAGAAGGAAATGGGCATCTACGTTTTCTCCATTTTGTTTAGTTCTACCTTATTTTTTATGAAAAGATACTTACAACATGTGTGCATGTGCAGGGTGTATACCTTACGATATTGAATGCTAGTGGATTCAGATAGAATGACGATAAAAATCGTAACCTGGATGACTGAATATACTATCATTTGATTATCTAATCAATAATCAATCCTCTGAATAGTTCTTATGTCTTTTTACACTTCTAGTGGTCTTTGTTAACTTACTTTCAATCGATACTTATATATATATCAAGTGGAAAAAATCTCAGGTTTGAAATCAGAAGTAATAAAAATCTAAAAGAAAAGGGCTAGAAAAGGATAATGCAAACCAAAAAGATAAGAAATGTGAGTTAATTTGCTTCACTCCAACGGATTTTGAGCTGTTATTTAAAATCTCTAATCCTAACAAAAAACTTCGTACTAATGTGATGCTCCATTTGAATTTAAGTTATAGTCGAAAAACACATTCCAAAATCCCTACATTATCCTTTATGGTATTCAAAAGATTTTTCATTTTTCCAACATCTTCAACTTAGAGGATCATGTCTTCTACATATTTTAGGCTATTTATCAGTTCTTCAAGTAGACCAGTCATTGTGAAGTTGGGCAAAGGAACTTTAATGTTACTCAAAGTTGGATAAGATTTTGTGTGATTATCTATGATGAATATTATCAGACGTAACCGCTTCAAACATTAATTCGCCACAATCATTATATATGAGTACAACTTTCCGAGTAGTTAGTCTTCAGTGCTAGTGTGATGTAATTGTTGAACTCGTTTCGGTTGAAGATACCACAAAACCGTTCGACGTGAAAATTCGAATATCTTTGTGTTCAGGAATCTATATAAGGTATGTATCAAAGAGTATGGGTCAGAAAATATCTGGTCAACAGCTGATGGAGATTTAAAACTCACTTGGTTTTCTCGAGGTTTTTATTTTGCGGCTCCGGATAGGTATAGGAAAATATGAATGTTTGTGGTAACTCAAACTACCAGTTTTGCCAGTTAGGATTTTAGTTGTGTAACATTTATTAAGTCATTAAAAAAGGCTTAATGGCAATGAGCTTCTCAACTCATATTCATTGTGTTCGGTTTTTCCTGTATCTTCGTCGCGTAGTTGCTCAAAGTTGCCCTTTGCACTGCTGCATCTGAAGGTCGGCTCGTAAAGATAGAAACATTATCTGTGATAAGTTGTAGCTGAGGATTATCTTATAGCAGTGTATTTGTTAACGAAGATAGACTGGGAACTGCGTGATCTTACGACTTGGTGAACGTAGTTGAGGATTTAGAAATTTAAATTACAATTAGGGAAATATATTAAGTCTCCTAGGTACCGTAACCATTTTATTCACTGTTTGTTCAACTGTTCTAGTTCGTTTTAATTCTTTACTTCAACAAATTTTCTAAATGGAGGAGCTTGAAGTGTCGTGAATTTTATAGTGTTATGTTACGCAAATCTTCTGATGAGTTGGCCTCATTTATTACAACACTGACAATATCAGCATAAATGTGGAGGATTGTGTTGGTCTTGTTTAGAACGATGAGGTGTGCCTATTCAGGACTGTAAAACACGTTTCTTTTCAAGAGAACAGAGGTCTGTATCCAATGACATCAGCAAACTGCGGAAATGTTTTGTTTCTCTCCCATTTGTAGTTTTTCGCAGTTCTAACTAGACAATTATTTACCGATACGGAGGAAGTTGTCATAACACTGGTTTGTTGATATCTTTACTTATGTCTATCTACGTTGTCATAAAACCGCATTTATTGCTCTTTTCTTTTGATTAAGTCTGTCGGTTGAAGTCTCAGTTTCACTTACTGTAGCTGCTTATATATAAGATGGCAAGCGTTCTACGAAACTATAACTCAATGTTTACATGAATTTTTTTCCAAGATTTGATATTCAGTTTATATGCATTGTCATAAAACCGTACTCATTATTCTGTTTCACGTAATAAAACTGTTATACCAATTTTCGGCTTCATATACTATTGCTATTTATTGACATAGTATAGGAAACTATTTGAGAAATTATAAGTTACAAACAGTATTATCATACGCGATCTTATATTTTAAATATCTCACTCGTGAAAAAGACATATTTTTCAAGTGGTGTTGATCAAAAAATTCTGTTTTTAACCCCGGTAGCTTACAAGCTGGAATCCAGCTGCTTCATTTCGATTGCGCAACCGCGTAGTGTAATTACTTCTAAACGTATTTTGTTTCTTTTTCTTTATTTTTGAAATTAAAACAGTGTAATCGTTTTCAAACTCGCATGGGTTTACTGCAATTATTATGTACTTGGTTCACAAACTGTTCTGAAGCAATAAGATGTTTTTTAAATCCATCATCCGGTACAGGAGATGATCGGACAGAATCAGTGAATCGTGGCTCGTATTTATGGACGCTTATTGCAGAAGCATGCGCAGTGGATAATGACGAAAATGAAGCATTAGTTCACGGTTTGACTACATTATTAGTTTGCATCTGTGTAATTTACAATCCTGGGAATGTAAATGGATTTGAAAGGTAATTATTTGTTGTTATTATTTAGTCATATGAATATTCTCTTTTTTTTAAAGTGTTAAGTTTTTCTAATTTATACGAGGCTTCAATGTCTAACCGAAATAAGGTAACAGTTTTTGAACTTTGATTGGTAAACGTTTTATTTCATGGTTGTGGACACTAGGAGGTAGAACTTGACATGAATATTTTATTTATATCACTGGCACGTTTGTTAGTAAAACTATAGTATACATAATAACTTGATCAATTTCCAATTTTATTGGTTTTTAGGATAATTAATAGAATTTTAGGTGTATGCGTTGAAAGTATCTGTTTTACAGATTTTTTACCTGCACGAAGAAACTGCCGTGTAATTAGTATAGTGTCCTAGCGTTTTACAGGAAATTAGTTGACGCAGTTGTGAACCTGTATTGACTGAAATGGTCGTAAAGTTTAAGTATTTAGTCGCAGAACACTGTGATATGATATTTTCCCCCAGTTGAAGTAGGTTGGAAGAAGCGTTAAGATAATTAGATAGAGACATAGGATCTCTTCATGAAGTTACTGATTTTTGGTTGGAACATCATAAACCCCTGTGATTGGAGTTCGGATTATATCCGGGAAGAATATACATTGAAAGATGAAAAAACGGAAATTCATTCAAAATCCAGTATCACTAGCTTGTTTATATTTACTCTTGCCTTTGTCCTAATTTTTTACGAGACTTGCATTTTTGGATTATTCCTGTAGGTTGTTTGATACCTTTCTTATTAATATTTCATGTACAATGTATTACAAACTGAACTGATGAACTGGTATGTTGGTTTTTTAAACGCCTTTGTCAGTCAGTTAGACAGTAACTGCATGGATTATCTCGCAATAATCCAAACTGTAACCAGCTACAATTGAAAACTTAATTCGTTTAAATGACGTAATACTGCAGTTTATCTGCAGTATTGATGAGCAAATAAATCAAATCCGACCCGTCATCAGATTATGTGCAACGCTTGTAATTACTTAGAATTATGAGTAAAAGCGGTCAACGGTGAAATAATTTGAGGGAAAAATATCGATTTGTATTAAGATTTTTAAAATTAAATTCTATCTATTCAAGCGACTTAAGGAGCCTAACTAAACTTGTAATGCTGACATAAAGTATATAGATGGTATTTCTGATATCTTCCCTTTCCTTTGGTACTAAGTCAGGTAATCCCAACCGTCAAATGAAGCTAATAGAAATGAGAGTTAACAATATCCTTTTTATGTTTCAAACATGCAACACTGATTGAATTTAATTGGACGTTAACAATATATCAGTTTCATGATCTAAGATATTTTGCTTTTAAAATATTTGCATTTTTTAAATCAATTTACCTTCGTGAACAAAGATTTTTTTGAATAATTTTTAATAATTTAGACTTTGGATTTTAACCCATTACAACAAGTAAAGTGATATATGATGATTGCAGCACATTAGGGAAAAAGCTATGCGTAGTTATACCCATTTCATTTAAAATGTTACGTTGATAACTCTGCTGATTGTGTAAATAAGTAGTATTTTCTAGAAAAAAAGATTATAACTATCTTAACTAAAAATATTTTGATATTTTATGTGTCACCTGTCTAAAGTATCTGTGTTCCTACAACCGTTTAGTAAACGATTTGCTCTCACCTGTAATCTACTGTTACCTAAATGTGAACTTAAATTTCGAAAAACATTTATACTTATTATGCTTTTATTAGTAAATGAATAAGAGTTAGTTGTACTCTGCATAAGTTTTTGCTACTTGTTATTGTTTATAGTTTTGGTGTTGTTTTAATTAATAGTCGATTTTACTATCCTCGTTTTTCAAATGAGTGTATACATACTGTCGTATTTCTCAATATAGATTTTACATTAATTCCGCCCATTCCGTCGATTTGCATAATAATCAAATGTGTTGTCCAGTCAACCGACTGGAAACCACTGAGTTCCCTTTTCAAACCCTGTCCAATTGCACTGGTTCGAAAATTCGTCTGATATTGTTAATTTTCACAATTGAATATGTCTAGCATATAATTTTGTGTAAGAACTTTTACATGGTTAGTAGTTTACTTGTATTCTTGTAATACTGACAGTGGTTTATAAACCTCTAACTATCGAAATTTGTCGCACTTTGTACTCACTGTGAATTTCGTCCTAGGAAGTGGTTTAACCATGAAATCAACAGTCGAAGTTCGTAATATGATGAAGTTGTAACCTAATGGTTTGGGTAATCCACTTTCTCACACATAATGTTTCAATTTTAAAACCTACTCCATATACCTTTGTTTTGTTAGCATATATAGTACCATAAGTCATCACTCTCAAAAGGTGTAGTCCTGAGTTTAAGATACGAAAACGTTTTGATATGATTAAATAGTGTTAAATTTACGTTTTAGTGTAAAGGATGTTGATAATTGCAAGAGTATTTGAAGAAAAATGTCATCCAATCGTTCGTTTGTTTGTTGATCTTATTGACTTGTTTTGTTTTTCTCTTTAAACTCTAGATCAACATTATATAATGCCCTGGAGAAACGCATCGGGATAGATATGATTTTAGAACGTCTAAGTCAAATATCCAAAGCTGAATCATTTATTACAGCCTCAAAAAAACCTCAAATATCTGTTCAGTCTACTGATGATTTAATATTTGATTATACATTTACACGTTTATTCAAACGATTAGAATGTAAGTGTTTATATGTTTCCCTTAGTGATTCATTTACTTTTTTTTTGAAATATGATAATGATTTACACTATTGACAATTTTGTTTCAATGATTTTATGAAATAGAAGAAATATTTTAATGAATTTAGTCAGTTATTAAATTATTTAAACAAAACTGATTAATCAATATCAGTTTGTTTTAAACTTCTTATTGGATAGGGACTCTTTATGTTGGGTCCTAAATGTAATGAGTAGTAGGAGAGTTGATCAATAGTAGCTGATCAATAATAAATACTATTCCTAGTTATGATTTGTCAAAGTTTTATTTCAAAATAAAACATTTGATTGGTGAACGTGTCTTTGGTGTTTATTTAGTAATAGCTTAGAAATCAGTAGCCAATTACATGTTTATAACCAAATCTTGATCCCGTAAATTATTGTTTGAAGATCAGGTACAATACCGGACTCGTCAAAATAAACTAAGCACAAAATTGATTTTAGGTTTTCGATTAATTGGCTTAATAATGAATACTTAGTCGATAGCCTACTTTCTTTTGGTGTATAAAGTGGATTGGTCTTTTCACTAACTTTCAAAATAGGAAATTATATGTTTTTTTTAATTTGTCGTTTTATTCTTTGCGTCTGAAACAGTATTGCTAGTAAAATACGTAGAAACACTATAAATATTGTATTATCACTTTCATTGTAATACGTTTTACTGCCAGTTACAATTCACCTAGCTGTAGCTAGACTTAAATTGTGAATGACTTTAGTTAAGAAGCTTTTCTGAACTATATAAAAGCCATTCATATGATACCTGATTAATTGATCATTTGTTTATTTAGATGAAGTAATGCATACATTCCAGTTGGACAGTAATATTAATGGAGTAAAGAATTGTACTTCATTTAGTGATAATCACCAAAATAGTAAACCCGTTGATCCTACAATTACAACAGTAAGTAAACAATATGACGAGAAGCTGGCAAGACAGGAGAATGAGATAACGATGTTACGTAATCGTATAAGTGAATTAGAATCTCAGCTGAATACTTGTCGTTCTACAATTAATAGTAATACTCCAACTGATGCAAAACAGAATAACATGGTCAATGAAGATCAACTACAAAGTGAGTCTGGTATAACAATGTAGTTTCACGATGAATTTCCTCTTTATTTTATAAAACAGTTATAACTTGATTCGATCATTCATTGAAGTATTCAATACATGGTTCTAATATTTCACCTAGGCATTCTGTAATTTTGTATTAAAATACATTGGTTGTCCCCACCCATGTTCTCGTTGACAACACTATGTGTTGATTGGGTTTGAAGTAATCTGGGAAAATACTGGTGGTTAACATAATATCTATGAAATTATTAGCTGTTTGTCATATTTCAATCGGATTCATTACCTATCTTCCTCTAGATTTTGAGTTATCATTCATAACTCCTCTTATTTGATTTCTTCCTTTCGAACTGTGCTTCTTATAAGCGGAGATATATGGTAGCTGGAAGTGGAATTGATAAGTCTTGCAAATTGAACGCTATATTCGGTTCCTAAGCTATTCTGTAACCCCCAAGCTAGAACTATACAGCGATCTGAACAACGAGAGAGAAGGCGCAAAGTATGCGAGAAGTACTTTACTCCAAGGTTCGTTTCAATACAGGAAATACAGGGTTTTTATAATATTTTAAATGTCCTTGGGTTGCTAGAAGATTCTGGAGTGCTACTAAACATAGTGGCAGTGTAGCAATCAGTCAATCAGAACCTCTGTATGTGACGTTTCGCTCTCTTGATATTTCTGGCTAAAACTTCAAGTGAACGCTGATTGGAAGAAACGCTTCTTAGTGTTTTCCTGATCCTTCCGAGAAATTTTCTGGGTCATTCCAACAGGAATCCAGGATGCGCATTTTGTTTTGGGCACCTCAACTGTATATACTTGTGCAATTCTATACAAATAAATTGTGCTTCGTATGTTTAACTTTCTATCACGCCTCAAATTAATTAATCTATTTTCCTTTTCATCCTGTAAATTTCCTCTTTCTCTAAGCCGATAATTATATATGCCAACTTGAACAGATACATAATTCTGCCAACTATTACATCGAAGATGACTGACAGAATAAGATAATGTATAAGTTGCATGTTACTCAATGCTAACTATTTATGCATTTTAATGACTTCCTGTTTGTTCCTCACTTTTCCCAGTTAAATAACTATCTAATATCTTAATTATTATTCTTGTATTTATTTTCCTAGTCAATTAAACTATCTTTTTCTGTGTATATATATATATATATATATATATATATATATGTAATTGTTATTTTTACGATATTTCCCGTTTTATTTTCTAGAATTAACCATAACTGACAATGTTACTATTCAAGTAAGTTGTCAGTTTAATTTATATTAATATTTCTAAAAAGTGGTATAAATAATTATTGTAAAATTATGCCAATAATAATAATAATAATAAAATAATCATTTCTAGTTATTAATTCTAATTTATTGATTAATTGTTTTTTTCGGTGTTGATTTGTTAGGTAGATACATAAATTGCAATCAATATGGGAAATTGTTTATGACAGACCATTTTTTTGTGTTTTATGAATTGTTGTATTACTGTTAATTATTATTATTTTATTATTGAAATGTATGGATGCATTATTCTTTAGTGTAAAAGTGGAAAGAGTAATCAAATTACCCACACTATTTCGTTTGATTACAAATCATTAGTAACTGTTAATTGACTTCTGCTCTAGTCATGGATATTTGTAGAGAGCATCTCAAAGTCTAACTGACATTTTTTAATAGTGTATCATTATCTAATAAATCGCCTTTGTTATCATTTTTGATAATCAGTATTTTCATAATTCTACAACGAACACATTTAATTAATAATAGTAATATTTTGGATGATTCGCCGATATTGCATATTAAATATAATAGGTTTCAAAAGGACAGTCAATCTTCAAATTTGTGACCTAACCACATTTTTCGTTTGGTTTTTTTTTCAGTACTTTCATCTAAACAATCTCTTGGTCGCCATAACTCCACTTACTTATTAATAATAACATCAGGGAACATAAGGAACAGTGTCTGTTATCTGTGTATTTCGGTCCATGTAGAACCTGCTAAATAAATTTCCTTTCTTAATCTTTCATTTGAAATCATTTACGCTTAAGGATACGTACCTAAAACCTATTTACCAAGTACACATGTTTCATGTAACTCAGGCAACATAGGGGAAGTGCATCTCAACCTGATAATTGAAAGGTAAATGCTTCAATGGCAGTAAGCTGTTTCTCGTTGAAATCTGGCACAAAACAGTACCGATTTTCATCTCATTGTCTTTTATGAATCATACAAGTAAACTAATGAAATTGTTTTGTAAAGATTTTTTAGATAATCATTACCGTAAGATTTTCTCGACTTTAGCGATTTGCAATTTTACAAATTCAAATATCTAGCTAAGAATGTTCGGTATCAGTCAGTCAATCAGTCAGTAGGTAACAACATAGAACTTCGTACGTACGTACATCAGTTCGAGTTGCCACACCACATTAGCACAGAGATGCAGTTGTCGATTCAAATCCCATAGTGGTAGAGGTAGTAAGAGTATAAGCAGTAATCGGGAAGATTAGGGTTTGTAGATGTTATTCAAAGAGTATAATCCAGTGAAAGAAATTTGGAAAGAGGAAAAAAGGGACATGAAGAATTCAGAAGATTAGAATTTGGGAGAACACAGAGAGTGGATGCACCTGCGCCATTGCAAACGATTTTGAGCCATGTCATTCAGGGTCTCTAACCATCGGTTGCTATCATCTCGCGGTCCCCAACCAGGTAGTCTACACCTACCAACATGACTCAGTTCACTTGTCAGTGACTTCATGGACTTGTGCCATGTTTTGGTTTGGCCGCCCCTAGCTTTATTCCAACCTACTCCTATACCACTGAACGTAGCATGTCGAGGCAGTCGGTAGTTGGGCATACGTAACACGTGTCCCAGCCATCTCAACTGATGAAGTTTCACTACTTCATCAATTGATTTGCCATCCTTACCTAGTACCCGTTTCCTAACAACTGCGTTACTTACTCGATGGTCCCATGATATACGAGCAATGTTTCGAAGACACCTATGATCAAATACTAGTAGCCTACGGATATCCTCTACTCTTGCCGGCCATGTTTCACTGCCATAAAGTAGGACGGAACGAACTGCTGCGCAGTAAACACGTCCTTTGGTTGATAGACGGATATCTCGCCTACGCCATAAATGACGCAAGTTGGCAAAAGCTAGTCGAGCCTTCTGTATCCGTGCTGAGATTTCGTCACACACCAAACCACAAGGGCTGATGAGACTTCCAAGATAAGTGAAGCGGTCGACACACTCAACTACTTCACTCCCTATCACTAGTTCGGGTGTCGATGTAACCCAATCCTGAAGCAACATTTTGTATTTCGAGGGAGAGAATCGCATCCCGAACATGCTTGCATTGTTGCTTAGAGTGGTCAGAAGTGTCTGCATTTTGTCAGCGTCTTCACCAAATAAAACTATGTCATCAGCATATTCTAAGTCAACAAGTGAACCTCCCGGTAGAAGTTCAACCCCTGGAAATTTAGATGGGGAAAGTGTTATCTCTAAAAGTACGTCGACCACAAAGTTGAACAAGAATGGAGAGAGTGGACAGCCCTGACGAACACCACTTAAGGTGATCAGTTCTGATGACAGTTCGCCATAAGCTCTCACTCGACCAGTTGTGTTCGAGTAGAGAGCCTTCATAAGGTTAATGTACTTCTTTGGTACTCCTTTCAGTGACAAATACTGCCATAGAACCTCACGATCAACAGAGTCGAATGCTGCCTTAAGGTCGAGAAATACTACGATTGTGGGGCGTCTGAATGTGTGTCTGTGTTCTAGAACCTGACGCAGTGTGAATATCTGATCTATACAACCACGTCCAGGTCGAAAACCAGCCTGGTTTTCTCTAATCTGCTCTTCACGAGCTTTAGTTAGGCGTCGAAGTATTATTGAAGCTAATATTTTAGACACTATATTAGTCAAACTGATTCCTCTGTGATTGTCACAAGAGGACTTTTGTCCTTTCTTATAAACTGGCACAATCAGTGATTGAGACCAGTCAGATGGGATTACGTCTAGTTCCCAAATTCTACCTAAGACCTCGGTTAATCTCATTGCTAATACTGGACCACCATCCTTAAAAATCTCAGGAGTAAACCTGTCAGGGTCTGCTGCTCTCTCTCGTTTCAGATTTCCTATGGCTTTTTCAACTTCGTAAAGGGACGGAGGACCTACATTAACTTGCCATTCAGGTTGACTAGAGATCGTGGGAAACCGAAGTGTGGCTGAAGGCCAGTTGAACTGATCCCTTAAGTGTTCTGCCCATCGATCGATCCAATCTCCTGGATTGAGAATGAATAATATGTCCATCTTTCTCTGAGATTGTTTCGCTAACGGTCGGGTTCCTAATTCCGGTTTCCTTAACGAGTCTGAACAATTGTCTGCTATTACCTATTGCCGCTGCCTTTTCCATCTCTCTTGCTTTCGCTACCCACCACTGTTCGCGGTCATTGCGTAGACTTCTTGTCAGCTTGAGCTTAAGCTGACTCCGCTCTTCATTATGTTCAGAGCCAGGTGGAATGAGTTTCCGAGCATCTGTCAGTGAGATAGATGCTGTTGAGATCCAGTGTTGCTCCCTAACCTTCTGGTTTACCTTACTAGCAGATATCACTGCTGTTTCCACAGCTTTTCGGATATCATTCCATGCTGCCTCAGGGTGGGCATCACCTACATGGCTGCCCAACTGTTTTCCTAGTTGTTCCTGAAATATACTCTTAGTTTGACTATCATTAAGTAGGGCCCTAAGAGGTTTCCTTGCAGTGTCTTTCCTACGTCCAGTAAGACGCAGACAGATACGCGCTCGTACTAGAGCATGATCTGAATCTAAGCATGTGCTCCGGAATGAGCGACAGTCCACGACACCATAAGATCCACCTAGGTGTCTTTCCCTATCGCTTAGTTTACCTACTTGAGCATTAAAGTCACTAGCCACTATTACTACATCAGAGCGCCTAACTTTTCAGAGAAGGTCGGAAAGCTTTCTGTAAAACTCATCTTTTACATCATCTGAGCTGCAGTCAGTGGGAGAATAGGCAGAGACGACGAAGAGGCAACGACGAGTGTCCCTATCTTTCCGGATCCTTACTGTTCCGTTCAGTCGGACAGCGCCCTAGGACTCAATGCTATACCTACGCCGGCGAGGCCACGGGAAGCGTAAATCGAGTCGGTTCTTTATTTTGGCATGGTGAGGTCAAATGAGTGACGCTACTCGGATCCTGTATGCGCGTTTCGGAGACGCAGCACACATGGATGGCGCGAGATTCTAAAGTTCTAGCTAAGGAAGCCTGTTGTCCTATTTGGCAAAGTGTTCGTACGTTAAAAGCTCCTACATGTAGTTTAGAGCGTGGTTTCAGGAGACCAGGAATAGCGTTCCACGTACTCGAATCGTTTGCCCTAGCGGTGCGAGGTGATAAAGAGACGTGAGGAGGGTTAGTTGGGGGCCTTCTGCTCTCTCTCGTTTCAGATAAGAGAGGTATTAGGAGGTGTAGGAAAGATTTGAATGTGACCAACTTGGTCTCGTGTGCTGCTACGGGTATGAGGGCTGATATCACTTCCCGGCTGCCCACACCGTGGGAGGGTATTTCTTGATGAACCTGAAAAGGAAATTGGATTAGTGTTGGTCTTAACGACCTGGGAGCATGACCGCAGAGCCCAAGGGACAACTGCTTGAGGTCGGTCGCGCACGGTCTTTTTGTGGGAGGTCTTCAGTGTGTTAGCTCCGTTCTTCAAAGGGCCTTGCCGCCGGAGACGGAAATCCGTGAGGTAAGGTGAGGTGTGACATTTTTAGAGTAGACCTTTTCTAACCCCACCCCTCCTTGTGGGAAGGCAGCATCGCTGTCATGCTGGTTGTCCGAGGGAAACACCTTACTGCTATCACACCCCTCTACAGTCAACAGTACGACTTCGCCCTCAGACCTTGAGTTGCTGCTTTTAGTCTTACCGTTCTCCGATCGACCTGCCTGGCATGGTAGAACCTACAGGAACATATGTTCCAGCCCATATAGCTCGGTTGGGTCATCACGATAGGCAAGCCCGACCACCGCGTCAAGGTAGCAGCTTCGGTCGGTATAGGAATCGGAACTTTGAATGGATATATAAGTTTTTCTAAAAATCGTGATTAGTGATGTTATTGTTTGTGACTATTCTTATTGTAATGAGCATGAACACAGGCGATGATAACGAAGTGTATTTGAATACAAAATTACGAAATCTCTTAGTAAAATGTGAGAACCATACAGTAAATGCTTTATTTGCAAAATGTCCATCAATTATTTCAGACTTTGTTGTTCCCTCGTTTCCATACAAATCACTCTCTGTTCTCGTTCTCTTCGATTTTCTCAACCTTCTGCCTCCAGGTATTCTACCTTCGGTTGGTGATACATACTACTTATATCTGCCATCATCAGTACCACACATCACGCTGTCAGTATTACTCTTTCTTTTTAATTAATCTCTCAAAAACACAATTCCTTTTTTTTGTTTTACATTATTGTATTTAAGACAATCAGTTCATCAACCAGTCAGTTATGCTGTTTGACTTGAAACTAATTTGCTGCCAAATTTATGTTATCGTTCGTTAATAAATGGTTAAGGTTTTTCATTATTGCTAATGTCGTTATTGATTTTTCCTTTGGTGAAAGCATTGTTTTACACAGTGTATGTTGTATTTTTTTTCCTTTTCTCTAACCCCTTCCCCTCAAATCCCATTATTTACTAGAATTTAGAACAGAAGTGTTTAATGCTTGAAAAAGAACGGGATAATCTACGTGGTGAACATGAAGATTTATTATTACTTTTAAATGATCAAGATGTAAAAATTATGAAATTGTGTAAACTTGTTAGAGAGTTAGGCGGTCTTGTAAGTTGATAGTGATAACTTATTGATATATTCACTCTGTTAAGTTTATTATTATTATTATCGCTTCCTGTAGTGAGGGGTGGGCTAGTGGTTATAAAACTGCTTTCAAATATAATAAACTGAGTGGTGTGTGTGAATTCTAGGCTTGCTGTACATAACTGGATCTAACCAACTGAGTACTTATACCTGTTCTTGATTATTGAACACATCCCAGCAAAATGTAATACAAGATGCCTGCGTCGTTGTATATAATTTTACTTATTTTAATTTAATGAGTGGAATCTCAACTTTAATGTTACGTTCTACACATTGATTAAATTTTTATTTGGTCAATTGCAGTCCTCAATATCAATGGAAAGGTTCAGATAACCAATATGTATCAATTAGAATTCACTCCACTCTATTTAAAACTTTAACGTTTTTCCAGTCGAATGTGTGTCCACGGTTGTCCATATGCATTAATATAAGCGACGATATGTGATGTTACCATGACAAATCTGGAAAATCATGGGCAAGTATCGGACGAAGAATCAAATTAAAAAGATGCAATCAAAACAAAGAAGTAGAAAACGATGGGTTAAAGGTCAACAATAACCAATCAAGATCGAGGTCGACAGAACAAGCTGTGAATCATATGTAGAGGAATTCGAACAATTCTACCTGAAGTTTGTGCTGATGATTTTCTAGTAGCGAAGGATATCAAATCCGCGTTACAGAAATGTTATTATCAAAGATACTAAAGCACATCTAATCTTTGAATTAAAAATAGTACTTAATGATTTTCAATGTTAACAACAACATTATAAGAGCTAGAAAAATCAACGATGTATTCTTTTGTATCCAGTTTCTAGTTATGTCTGTTTTGTTAAAGCTATAAAATATAACAAGTTTTCTTTACATTTTTCAAGAAAAAAATATACTAATTTATTTTGTTGTATTTTAAAATTATTTCTTTTGCCAGATACCAAACGATATTGAATTAAATAATGTTAATGATTCACAAATTACAGATAATCATCATAATCAATTAAGTAATGAAAATACTAATCAATCATTATCCACATTTCAAACAATTCCTTCAACTCTTCAACCAGATACATTACAGTGTCCAACAAATTTCTCATTTACAACTTCTGAACTAACTTTATCATCTAATTCAATAAGTATTTCAACACCATCATTATATTGTGTTTATGATGATAATAAATTACTTCATACATCACCACCTCCATTATTATCTCATACTAATTCTATACAAAATGTAATTATGTCAACAACAGTAACAACAAGTCAATATTACTGTCCACAAGTATATTTTAATGCTGTAACACAAAACTATCCATGTTCACCATCATATACAAATACACAATATTTTCATGTTAAACAATAATAAAACATTAATTGAAAAGAATACATTTTAAAACTTCTAATATTACACATGAAATAATTGTACATTACTTTAATGCATCATATGATGCCTACGGTTTTTTCTTATTTGATTCATTCCTCTATGAATAAATGAATAGAAACTTATTTTTTATGTGTAAATGCGTTAGTTCATCTTATTTAATTGTTAATTTGTTTAGCTTTCTTTTTACTTTGATTTTCTTTTCTTTTTTATTTGATGTTTTAGGTTCGCTGTTTCCGCTTTTTTTTCCCTAAATAACAACCCCAAAATATTGTGTTGTGCTTATTATTGTATCTTCAACTTCTTTTCTTCTTCTTCTCCTCAATATTTTCTAATATAAAAAGTTGTTTGTTCTCAAGAAAAGGAATAAATTTTTTTAAGAAAAAAAAATAATTTATACGTAGATAGTTGTAGGGTAGGGTCAACGTTGAAATTTGGACTGTTTTTACTGATTGTATACACTCAATAATTAGTTGTTCTGGTCTCCTGTTTATCTATATTCCATGGATTGTAGTGGTGTGTTTTTTTTTCTGGTTGATTTGTGCTCTATTGAGTAATTTACTTGGATAAGATGATATTGTTTTTAAATTTAACTGGTTCTTCATTCAACTCTGTTAATTTCTTATAAGAGGGAGATTCATGTTCGTCGTTAATTAACCAACGATGTATGTATGCTAAAGACAATATTTCGTAAAATATGCGTGTGCTTTTGTATACTGATGCTTTTTATGTTGTTACTTGACATAATCAACCTAACTTCATTCACTAAGTGAAAGTAATATATTTATGAAATGTAACTTGTATAATGAGTGTGTTACTTGTGTATTTGAAATTCATTGTGTAATTGAGGAAGAAATAAAGAAAACTCAATGTAGAAAGTTTTCGTCTCTACAATATTGTTTACTGAAGTTACACGATCGTATTGATAATGAGTTAACAGGTGCAATCTGTTGAGAAGATTCACATATCAAAGTAGGGTTACACAGTGATCGGGGAGTTAAAAAAAACAATAAAATGAAACCGAATGTATGAATGATAAGTGTAGACTTGATAAGTATAAAAGTCGTAGGGAAAAAACCAGAAGCTCCCCTAGGTGGATCCTCCATGTCCACCAACCCGGTTAAGGCGCCAGACATTCACTTTTCGTCCTCTCAATATCGTAAACACTTCCGCCATGAGAAGGCAGTGAGTAGGACTTCCCTGTCAGTGGTTGTGTGCACGTGGCCATGTGAAAGCATTTCGAGAGGGAGAGTGGGATCTCCCCACTCGGCCGTATCAGGGCATTTGGGGAAAAGATCTCACCATCCTGATGGGAGACTTGACATAGCTTCAGATCACCACCTAGTGGTTGTTAAGAAGAAATTGAAACTAAGGATGCACTGGACAACTGGCGGAACAGCATTACAAAGTTTAAAAACAGATTTCCTTCAATATGCAAACCCAACTATTACAAGATAACTCTCAACAACAGGTTCCAAGCCTTACAGGGTCTACTGAGAGAAGAAGAGATTATTATGGAGGACAACTGGAAAGGGATCAATGAAGTATTAACCTCAACGTGTCAGGAGGAGCTAGGCCGCAATAAGCATCATCATACGGAATGGATCTCAATAGAATCCCTGGACAGCATTCAAGAAAGGAAGAACAAGAAGACAGCAAGTAGGAACAGTCGAGCATGAGCAGAGAAAGTCAAGGCACAAGCTGAATACACAGAAGCAATCAAACAAGTGAAGAAGAGCATTAGAACTGACGAGCAGAAATACATGGAATATATAGCAATGACAGTGGAAAATGCTGCAACATCAGGAAATATGAAATAACTATATGACAATAAAGAAACTGACAGGGAAATAGTAAACCAGAGATATAAATCAGGGACAAAGAATCTCAGACTATCACAGATTGAAGAACAGAGGACACTTCGAGGAACTCTTAGTTAGACCAGCCCCACTGAACCTACAGGACATCGGAGTAGCACCTTCAGTCTCTCCTGTAGTTGTTATCCCACCAACGATTGGAGAACTCAGGATGACCATCAAACAAATCAGGAGTGGGAAAGCAGTACGACCTGACAAAATACCAGCTGAAGCACTGAATTCAGACAAAGAACCAACTGAAAACATGTTACACGTAAATTCAAGAAGTTTTTGGAGGGGAACAAGTGTTGATGGACTGGATAGAAGGATATCTCATCAAGATACCAAAGAAAGGAGATTTGAGCAGATGTGAAACCTGTTGAGGCGGTTCCAGGGAAAGTTTTCAACAGTGTTGCTAAACCGGACAAAAGATTCACATAAATTGTACGATGTTTTTCTCCCTTAATTTTGTATGCTTCAATACTCTTTACTCTTAGTTTTTCTATTTTGATAACTTTGTGATCATAATTAAAGTTACTGGCAGAAACATATTAATAGTTATATTAGTAGGATAATTTGTCAACTATAACACTGATTTGTTTAAATTGATGCTTATTTTCTGTAACCAATTAGATAATTACTGCTAAGCATTGTGAATAGAGTAATCGTGTATTAAATTAAAGTCCATTATAAACCGTGAATTTTATAGCATTTGATAATGACAGCTTGGGAAAATTGATAAGAAAAAGGTGATTTGTAAGATTTGAATGAAACGAAAAATTTATCTAAAATGAACTCGTTGAAGTATAATCCATGGTAAAGCATCATGAAAAAACATAGTACTACTGACCAAAACAATTCATAGAAGAAATTATAAACTGGCCCTTGAAACGTTTTGAAAAAAAGTTCAAATTTCAACCTAATTTTGATAGCCTTTGCATATCTACTTCATTGCATGTTACTTAAGACAGAGTAAAAAGTAGAAATTACAATCACGGTAATTGATTTCCTCTCATCTTTTCTTTAATATGCGTTTAACAGTTTGTACATTAAAAAAATAATAACTTATAAATCAGGGCTGCTTTGATGAGAAGAAATACTGTTACTAATCTTTATTTATTTTACCTGACAATGAATTAAATTTAAACTATTGTTCTGTACCCTCTTTTTAAATGTTTGCATTGTTTTTTTTATTAAATTCATTACGTTTTGGTGGTTCTACTTTTGAATTAAGACATCTGTATGGTGAGACTATAATTCATGCCCCCAATCGTCCTGGTACGGCCGAGAGTGGGGAGAGTCAGCCCTTCCTCTCGAAATTCTCTCAAGTGGCCACCTTCATACAACCACTGTCACACAAGCCCTACTCATTACCTCGCGGCATTACTGTTGTCTACGAAGCTGAGAGGACGAAAAGTGAATGTCCGGCGCTTTAACCAGGTTGGTGGATACGGAGGATCCACCTAGGGGAGTTTGAAAACCCTGATTCCAAACCAATCACGCACATGGGCTCCAGGATTCTGAAGGAACAAATGGCGTATGAGCCTATTGTTGGTCACTGGCGACCATGGGACTGCATCTCCTGACGTTGCTCCACTGCCTTGTGGATTAGACATCCAGGTCGATGGCTTCGAGCGTGGCCCTCTAAGAGAACCACCTGCTTCGGTTCGGGCACCCGGACAGTATCCCAGCCCTCACACAAATCAAATGATTTATGTGGCACATATGTATTCGTTGATTTCTTGTACTAATATTTATGTGCTCAAATAAATAAATGACGACCTTAGAGCGACGCTAAAGTGGCCTTGAGAATAACCACCTACTTAGTAGGGCTAAATAAGTGTTATAAAGCAGTGTAAAGAATAGGGATCATGATTTATAATTGATGGTTTGGATTTGGAATTAGATTTATGTTTTTTATCACGAGCTGACATAGGCTAAAATGCGAAAACGCTATTTAGACGATTGGGTGAGTGAATTTTGCGCCAAAATCCAAGACTTGTTATTCGAAATGTGATTGGTTCATCCATAAGTTATAGTTTCACCCTGTTTATAGTTTGATAATCTGAAACACCGTTGTTGGTTATTTTTTAAAGTCGAACTCTGTAGTCTCACAGTCATTGCATGAAATCAATATGAACTCTCGATAGGTACACGTCATATTTGTAGGTGAACATCACTGTAAATAAATAAATGTATACACAAACTCAAATGGAATTTTTATCCGACAGTTTGGAAAGTGCATAGAACGCACTCAAAGATAATAATCAAAGTATTTCAGAAAAAGACAATAATTCACAAGTATGGAATTCAAGGTAATTTGATAACTAAGACATAAAGCTATGCCACAAATGTAATAGATGTATATATGAGGTTTGACATATCCGACTTATAGTTGATTACTTTAGAGCTAAATAAATTACATTAGTTGAAAAATTACTGAGTTTTTGATGCTGATCAGATTATTTAATTCGAAAATATGATGGAAGAGGGTAGTAAGTTGTATCAGTCATTTTACCCAATAGTGTAGTCAAATGATAATTTGTTTTCAGTGAGGAATATTACTCATATTAATAATGAAAGCGTTGTTTGCAGAACTATCAACAATGAGAACTACGCACTTTATGCTTTATATTGACTTCATTAGAAGCATCAAATGTTTGAATGGTAAATTAATCCATGCGATTATTTATCTATTTATGTATGTTCTCAAATTAAGCGATAATGAATTACGTTGGTATAATAAACATCGGATCAGATGTGTTCGTAACCCGATGGTTGTCCCATTCCAGCCATATACGTTGGCAAAGCTGATTGGCTTATATGGACACTTATTGATGACACGACGCAATTACTGGGGCTCAATAACTGTTTTTCCTTGATCTTTATTTTTCTAATCTTACATCCAGTGACTGAAGCCCATTTATGGACCATACAGAAATGATTAATTATACCTTTCCACATTGTGAATTTATTTTGTACATTGTTCACACGAACATTTATGTATTTGAATATCTGTGCTATGTTTCCTATTGTTGGTTTTCACGCTTATCGAAACTCCAGGGTTTGTTTGCTTCTGTTCCGTCTTTTCCTGTTCAAATTCATGTATTTTATATGTCTTATAAG